TTATAAGTGACAGGTTATTTTAAAACAAGCTCGGGATCTGGAAATAAGTATGTTTTGCACAGGAAAGTGGGGGCAAATGTGTGCGCAAAACAAATACTGGACTAGTAAAAGCTCTTGCAGGTAGAATTTGGGGCATTTTCTCATTGAGTTGTTCCCTGGATAAAAGATTTACAGCTGCATTTCTATTTAAAAAGAAAACAACAAATTTCAAGATCTCTGTTGACTTGATGATAGGAAACTGAGAAGACAATTCAATATGAAATTTGTTTGTCCTAGCAGGAAGTCAGAAGGCTTGTTTTTCCCTTATGTCCATTAGTAATCCTGTGACTTTCCAGCTGTGATCAGTGGGAAACATTGCTTCCACCATTTACAAAACAGAAATCTTTCTTAATGTGTTTTAATAAAGAACAAAAGGCATAATTTCCAGTCGCTCTCTTCCAAGTCTATATTGATGGATAAAATTGCTTATGGATATAATGAAACACTCCAGTGGCAACAATTTATTTCTGCAATCAATTTAATGCTCACATATGGCACATTTTGATAATGGTGATTTTTTTCAACATTACTTTAATTCTAAAAAGAACTGAAACATGCTTACATAAACAATGCATGTCATGCTCTTTCCCTGACATTTCTGTTCTCCAGTATTTCTGTACCCTTCCAAACCAAAAAAAGTAAAGGCCTGCAATCACGAATATGCTCTCCTTAGTAGGGAAACATATTTATATAAATATTTACTGCACAAAAGAAACAAATGAGTAATATATCTGAGCACTGAGTAGATAAAAAACACCCACCGTGTTCTTCAATACCAATTAGCAAGTTATTATTTTCACCATCACTGCGCAAAGACCACACTGTCCATAAATGGAACAAGAAAATAACTGCAACCAAATAAAATTTGTGAATGATTCTGACAGGAAAGAAAGTATAACTCCTATCAAACTATCTGCAAGTAATACAAAAATCAAGGATCTGACTATATCCTCCCACAGCCAAACCCATAGGAAGAAACTTGGAATGAGGAAGAAGATTGCACAAAGGTTCCTGTGGAGCACAGCACTTCATCCAGTTTGCTAGCCCAAGGGATTTAACAACCAGATTCTACAAATCCCTAACATCTGTGGAGTTTTCAAGAGATCCACCAGAAACACATTCCTCCACCATGAGAAAGCTATATGAAGAAAAAAAATACATCACTTCAAAGAGATATTAGGGCCATGGACAAACTATCTGAGTGTCACAGTTTGTGATGGTATGACTGTCAGCTTGAAATTAAATGGCTGTTGAAAAAAAGACTTATGGAGGACCCTTAAAAGCCTGAAACTAAAACATTAATTTGTTTTTTCTGTTTAAATCCAGAGAGCACAGAACAAACTGCTGGGCAGATACAGAGAGGTTTATCTGAATCAACGTTAAATAAACAGGCCATAAGCAAAGGTGTCTTTGACAGAGGAAAGATATTATTATGCTGAATATTACCAAAGAAATAATTACTTTTAAAAATAAAGGGGGCTAGGGACAGAAATTACACATAAACAAGTTTAAGTCATCAGAAACTGGTTTAAACCTATAACAGAACAGAAGCTCAGTGCACATAAACCAGTTGCAAAATGGCTGAAACTGTTTTTGGATAAACCGGGTTGAATGTAGTATCAGACTTAACTGATTTGGGTCAAACTGGTGTATGAAACTTCTGCCCCAGATCCCTTCCTGGTTCAAGTTAAATCACAGTCCCCCAGCATGCTTTCCAACCCTGGGCTGTGCTGTCTGCTCCAGCAGAAGAGGGCAGGGGGAGGGGGGAATGAGGGAGGGAGGCAGGGACTGTTTCCCCTCCCCACTACAAAACCCCGCTATGGCTTGTAGCTAGGGAGGGGGGTTAAACCCACTTTCCCTTCTCCCCCTCATACCCCCAATACAGAGCTGCCCTGCTGCTAAACTTACTGAAACTTACTGCTGGCTGTGACTGTGGACTACAAATCCCAGAGGCACCTGGAAGCAGGAAGAAGAAGTGTTGAGCAACCCTAGAGAGTCCTGCTACTGTGCTCCTGGACTGCAAATCCCAGAGACCTCAGGGGCAGCAGGAAGAGGAAACAAATACACAGACCATGCTGGCTATGTCCCAAAGAGCTGTGGTCTAATGCCCCCTGCTTCTGGCCAGAGCCACTGTGTGGCTGCATTTCCTGAATGAAAAGTAAATGTGTCCCCGGTTGTTTTTCAGTTTAATCTCTTCAGTTTAGACTAATATGTAAAGACTGAATTCATTCAGCCTCAGGCTTTTTGACTGTCTGTACTCACCCCAGGTATAAATCAAGAGATGGGTATGGATGTAAGGTAATACAAATGAAATAAACAGTGTTAAAAAATAGCAAAGACTGTATACAATGCCCCCTTCCCTACCCAAAAAACCCCAACAAAACCCCAAAACTGATGGAAGTTAAAAGCCAGATTAAAAGAAACTAAAATAACTATCCAAAAGGGAATCAGAGGATAGCTTTTGTTAAAAATAAATTAGCTAAGAAAATACACCTGTTCCCATCTCAAAACTCTTTTGAGTCCAAATATGAAAACTCTGTAGTATGAAACTACTCAAACATCACTTGCGTATTGATGCCAAGACTTGTACATTTTTCCAGGTAGGGTTTCTGTTACTCAAAGCAGGGCTAGGCAGTAGAGTCTGAAAGCTGCAGAGCCCCAGATAACGAACAGGCTGAGCTGCACTTAGCTCATGAGGAGGAGCAGCCTGGAACTATATAAGCCTTGCACCTGAGCCAGAACCAGAGGAAGGAGCTTGCTACTGGGAGCAGCGAGCAGTACTGTGGGGGACCTGGAGACTGACCCTAGCTGTGCTAGCTAAAGAGCTCCCTGGGCTGAGTGGAGATGCAATATGGGAGACTGGAAATTGTATGTCCAGGAAGGCCTAGGCTGGGAGAAGCCAGCAGAACTCAGTAGAAGCCTGAGGAGAGCTTAGAGAAAAGCAACCCAGTCGCACTTGATTGTGTTTGTGTTTTCCTTTATGTTGTTGCTGAGGCTCTGGTGCAAGGGAGTAGCTGAAAGAGGAGGGAAAGAGGCCATGGAAAATGTCCCATAGACAGGCTTAGATTATTGAGTTGGCAGACTGCCAGACACCTGGTGAACTGAGACCAGGCTGTCTGAGCCTCAGACAGTGCAGGGCAAGGCACACAGGACCGCCCTTCTGGTTCTCTGGAGGCAACCTCCCAGAGTTATAATAACTAAGGCATGGCAGATGAAGATAGGGTAGTACTCAAAGTAAGACTATAGTAGAAGGGTCAAAATAAGAGTGGCCACAAGGAGGCGCCACTCACTGCTAGCAGCAGATCCCATTACAAAGACCTCGGTCCTAAAAGTGGATCCACGTGAGTAGGCCCTTACACCTGTGAATGAACAAAGCTTCACACCATCACAGGGGTCCACCCAGGCAGATCTGATTGCCAGATTGGAACCTATCATTTCCTATATGTTTGTCCAGAACTTCTCTCACTTCAAGAACTACCTGAGATACAAATAAACAATCAATAACAATGGTTTAAAATAACAAATGCATTTTAGTTGTGGGTGCACAACTTCCAAAAAAATCCAAAAAATGTAAAAATAAATGTTTTATTTATCTATGAGTTTCAGTTACAAGGTAAATTAACCCAAACTGAATTAAAACTATTTTGTTTTCATGTTGCATACACAGGTATTTTTCAAACTTTCATAACAGTGAATCATTTTAAGATAATATAAAATTATCTCGGGTCAATCCAGAATGTTAAGAACTATGACCTGATCAAACTACGGTGGATTCTTCATATAAAAATCATGAAGACTCAGAAAGAAAAGAGAATGATTATAAAAACATTTTCTATACCACATCACACATTAGAGATTGATTTATGATGGCAATAGCTCACTCTGGGGAAAAACATAATCCACTTGTGACCACAACAGAATCTCAGCACAATCACCCTCTTCTGACTGCAGTGAAAGACAGATCATTGCCTTTTCGGGATTTGTTGCTGAAGTATTAGAGCCATTACATATTTCCAAAATAGAAACTATGGATAAAATATTAGATTCTCAGAATAAATATTTTACTGTATCTTATATTTTATTGCTAACATGCAACAACTTTTCCATAAAGATTTATATGAGTAAATTTACATTTTAGATAAAGTTTTAAAATTGTTTATTTTTGGCAAAATGTATAGGTATATCAGATACCAGTCCTATATTTATCACAAATAAATTATTTTCTCTATATTTGTATTTGGACTTATTTGTTGAATATTATACAAATAAACCAAAACTTTCTAAAGCAAACTCAGGAACCAAACGGTACATTCTAAAACAAACACGCTACTGCATGTGAAGGATTTCTCCACTTACAACCAAAATACTGAAGGCACACCTCTCTGTTCTCTTCCTAGCCAATGAGCCCTAAAATATCTTGAAAGCTGTAGGCTGCACATGTAGAGGGAGTTACGTTAGCAACAGTGCAAACCCAACTCAGGAGATTCTCCAATATGCATGCACACACACATATAAACATGCCCCCAAACACACCCACACGCATGTGCATGGACATGTACACACACACACGATAGATCATCTCCAGACTGAGTCTTCACATCTCAAGTTGTGTAGTAATCCAGAGCAGCACTGAAGAGGGAGAGGATAACAGCATACTGGGCTGCAGTAGTAGGAGCGGTGCCAGCAGATCAAGGGAAATAATTATTCCACTCTACTCTGCACTTTTGAGGCCACATCTGGAGTAATGTGTTCAGTTTTGGGGCCCCCACTATAGAAAGGATGTGGACAAATTGGAAAGGGTCCAGCGGAGGGGAACAAAAATGGTTCAGGGGCTTGGGCACTTGACTTGAAAAGAGGCTGTGGGAAGTGGATTTATTTAGTCTGGAAAAGAGAAGACTATGGGGATTTAAAAGCAACCTGCAACTACCTGAAGGCTGGTTCCAAAGAGGATGGAATTAAACTGTTCTCAGTGATGACAGAACAAGGAAGAACTGTCTCAAGTTACAGCGAGGGAGGTATAGGTTGGATATTAAGAAAAACATTCTCACTAGGAGGATGGTGAAGCACTGAAACAGGTTACCTAGAGGTGGCAGAATCTCCATCGTTGGAAGTTTTTAAGGCCCAGCTTGATGAAGCCCTGGCAAAGAGAATTAGCAGATCAGTTTCATTGTTTCACCTTAGTACTTACATTCAGGGCTTCAGGGCTATGGGTATCAACTCCAGTTGTAGCAAAGGATTCCGTGAGTCAGGAAACATTTTTTTCATATGTAGGAAGGACCTAACAAATGGGCTTTGCTCAACTTTGACTGCAGGCTTACAAGATATCTCATAATATCTTTTTTACCCTACAATTAAAAACATTACTGCCATAAAGCATGCTCTCCTACCCCTTCTCTCTCTCTCTCTCTCTCTCTCTCTCTCTCTCTCTCTCTCTCTCACACACATGCACACACACACACACACACACACACACACACACACAGCTGAGCAGAAAGAAAAAAAAACAATAACAGACACCTTTATCAGTTGCAGCCATCTGTGTTCCTTTGGTTTGATCCAAGTATTTTGGCAGGCATGTATGTAGTTTTCTCCTACTCCATTATGATCTTACCCTGCAAAGAAAATGTTCACTCCTATTTCCTCCTTTCTCCATGAGTTCAAGGGTCAAGTAGCGTTCTAAATCTGTCCATGGCTGAACTTAAAATAACAAGGCATCATTGCTTAGGCTTAATTAGATGTGATCTCAACATGATCTTTTAAATTTATTTTGAATAATTACTATCATCTGATAACATTACACCTGGCAACATACATAAGCTGATAAATAACATGGGATTTTCAAACTAAGATATATGAAGCACTTGGTATTAAAGTGTATAATAAAGATATAACTATATGAATAAAAAGCATAAGATTTAACTCATCTTTCAAGTTAAAAGCCTTTTGTAAAAAAAAGTCCGCTGCTCCTGTAATATAGAAAACTGAAAAGCAGGCTAGGATAATCAGTTTTTGTATTAGTAATCATATTTATAAATTAATCCTGTGTAATGTAAAGGTCTTCTACATGACTATACGGGAGAATGCATTTTTTTTAACCATTTGTCCACCAAATCCCAAGGGCCCCAAATACCTAGGAAAGTCAGCAACAAAACTCCCATTGATGTCCAAGAGCAGAATCAGGCTCAAAAACAAAAAAACAAAAAAACAAAAAATCAGTGAGTTACAACCATATACAAACAAAAATACAGATTCTTAAAGAATAAAGAGGTAATAAATCAGAGAGCTCAATTGCTCTTTTGCATTTGATGGATTAAGAAGATCTTCAAAACAGAAACTGAGAAAGAGGAGGGGGAAATAAGAAAAGGAAAAATGTAACATGGTGTATGAAACCCCCTTAGAAAATATCAATCTTTTCACTAAACATTATATATTAAAGGTCAGGCATCTTATTACATCTTCTAAAATATTTAAACAATTTGCCAAAAATAGCCCAAAAAGAAGTTGGCTTTTAAAATCTATTCTATAGTGTTTTCTTTTTGTTGTTCCGAAGTACAGCCTGTTTTCCCCATCTGCTGCAGGCATGCAAAACTGCGCTGTCCAAAACTGTGCATGCTCTCTCTCTCTAGGTGTAATTGTGCATATTGTTTACAAACATATGTACATATCTAGAGAGAAACAGAGTGAACTAAGTTGCGTACGTACACACCCATTTCAATATTACTGTATAGAGATAATATTTACACCTATGCATATACACGCACCTTGTGATATTCAGTAATTTTCCCTCTCTATCTCCTATACACAAAAGCTGCTTTTTGATCATTATTACAAATCAATTATGATAGTAAACTATCCCAGTTAAAAATGCACTCATTAAATATTAAATAAAGTACTTCTTTTCTGACACCATTTTAGAGCACAGAACTCTATTTAAAGAAAATTATTCCTTATATGTTGACATAACTGAAAATTAGAAGTATTTCTAGGGAAAAACAGAGCAGTGAATTTTAAAGTTCAGAGATGTAACTACAATTGAACAAAACTGAAAGTAGCATGATGCCAACAAACCCTCCAGGACAAGGTTTTAAGAGTAAAAATAGGATTACAATCTTGGCAGAACTAGACAAGACGACAAAATTACTTATGCAAAACTTGCTGACCACAAATCACCCTTGAGTCAGCATTGCACTTGCAAGATCTTCTCTTAGTAAGGATCTCCAGAATCACGCTGAGCAACAGCACATAAAAGCACAGCAAAAGCACATGTACATTCTTCTGGATGCTTCATAACCTAAGACTCTGCTTTTATAAATCTTATTCTTCCTGTCTTACCTCAGTTTGAGTTGTAGTAAGGGATGTTATTTTTCAGAGCGCAGCAAAGGAGACCTATACTTTGGTCAGCTGCCATCTCCAAAACTGCTTACATGGTCTATCAAGGAACAGAAGCCATTCTTAAAAAAACCTGAGTTTTATATTTTTATTTAAAAATTAAGAAGGCCTGCCCAATGTGGATTTAAAAAAAACCCAGTATTTCTAGAACAACTCTGTCCTGAAATAAATATAATGTTCACTGGGTAAATACATGAAAAAAGTTATGGAGTAAATTCATTAAACAAACAAAAAAAACTAGCTAAACTATTGAACCAGGTCATCTAAATTATTTATTGTTTGCACAAGTTTGGTGTATTCTGAATGTTGTTCAACAAGAAAAAAAAAATAGATATCATATTAAAGTGGAAAAATTACTAAAATGTGCAAAACCTAGAAATCTTGGTTCAGAAATGATAGTTTTTATTAGACCAACTAAGAAATCACAAAAAATATATCTGTCTTTGCAAGCTTTCAGGCACACATCCCATTCTTCAGGCTGAGGACCAATCCAGCATGGTAAAAATCCTCTTGGGTAGAAAATAAACTTTATTTTGCAAAGGGAACTTTGAGGCTGGAAGTCTGTTCCCTTAGGGTCTATGAGAGTCTGCATTTCTTTTTGTTTCAGACCAACATGCATGGGCGACTGGTGAGGGGGGAGCCAGTCAAGACTGTGAAAAGTCTTGCTGCCTTAGCGGGGTGGGGGGGCGGGTGTTCCCTGCAGCCAATCTCGCTGTCTGGGGGGAGTTCCCCAGCAGCCAGTTGCTGTGGCCAATCACTGCAGCTGCTTCCAGGAGTGGCTGTGGCCGCTTCTGGGAGCCGCTGCAGTGATTGGCCGGCACTTGCAGGTTGGGCAGGTTTCACTGCTGAGAAACTTTAAGTGAAGCAGGAATGAAAGTGGAGTTCAACCACACCACTGTATCACTTCTCCTCCCCCAAGGTATGCCTATGCTGGACTCCACTCCTGCTTTCATGCAGCTGCTAGGAAGAAAAGAAATAACAGGTGTTTTACAGCATCTCCATGCTTATATTCTGGGTAGAAAATCAGCTTCCCCACCTAAGACATGCACCCCAATTTTGGAAGGCTATTTTTGGCAGAAAATGTGATATGCAAGTAAATATGGTACTTTTCTTCTGGAAGTAAAACTCTCAGCTTTTAAACACTACTGTGTCAACAAAGCCAGAATAAGTAAGTTAGCAATAACCAAAGATAGAAAAAATATTTTTGAGTATATTTACCTAAAATTTTAACTCTATGCTCTTGTGTTAATTTTTACACTAATATCACATTAGTTGAAAACGTTTAGAAATAGAAACAATTATATGAATATCCCTCAAAATTAAGGAAGAATGTTATAAGGGACTTTTTTTTTTATATAAAATGCATCTTTCACAAGGGACAAGTACCATCTTGGCTTCATTTTTTTCTGCATACTGATTTTGCAGTCAAATATCAATATCAAGCAAATGTGCAATTCATGGACATTATCTAAGCAATGTTAAAAAAAGCTTGGGGCAGTTCCACATATTCATATTTGATTACTCATAAAAGATTGTATATGTGATCATATTCCTCACTCACAAAATGTGTTTGCATGTATGCATGTATGTATGTATAGCCTACTGTACTACACACACACGAAACACATTGACATTTTTAAAAGAGCTGTGTTAAACACGTGCATTTGTCAAACCCAGGGATATCCAATTTCCAGGCAGCCAAGGGCACATGCCTCAGTCCTGGGGACTGCATGAGCTGCAGGCCACAGCCCCTAGGGCCATTTATGTCATAGGCAACCCCTGTACCACCCAAGCAGCCCAGATGTCCCCTCCCACTATGCATGCTGCATAGCCAGCCCAGGTTCCCCCCAATCACTACCACCCTGGCCTGCCTCATGCACAGAACCCTCTTCCCCTTCCAGCTACACGTACCACTTGTACACACAACTGAGCAGGAAGTATAAATTGGAGAAGGGGCGGGGGGAAGCCCAAGGAAATCAGCAGCTATGACAAAAGCAATAGTGGGGGGAGTGAGTGGTAGTCAAGTCAGAGACCATGGGCCACATGTTAACACTTTGGGGGTTACATGCAGCCCATGGGCCACCAGTTGGACAATGCTCATCTAGCCCACGTAGTAGTCTATTGCAACTCTGCCTCTATTGACATTAATGATAATCTATTTAACAGGATTAAAATTAGCCCAGTGATAAAAAACTTTGTAAAATCCTATCAGTAACTCCTAAAGTGCATGAAATTCTCAATTAAAAGAAAAAAAGTTACACAGGCTATTATGAATAATACTATTTAAAAAAAAACCTGTCCAATGAGAAAACACTCTAACAAATAACGTGTGAATATTTTTCAAGTTAAAAAAGTGTGTTCAGAATAATGTTTGTCAGAACTAGGGCTATGCAACTTCCAGCAGCCATGTTCAAACCCCCAACGTATCAGAATTAGTACCTTTGTTCCCTCAATTCTATTCATACTCACTACACCTCAAAGCAAAAGGAAATTTAATTATGAGAACTGTGATGAACTAACAATATTTGTCTGTTTAATATTAAATTGAGATGGAACCCTTATTCATACCATTACCAAGAATACAATAGCAGAAGAGGTAAAAGGTTAAAATACAGGCTAGAAGAGGAGAGAAAGAGGTAGTTTTAATAAGGGTAGTTCAATAGGTAAGATGGGCTTAACTGATAACCTTATCTTAAGTGTCTGAACATACATTTATCATTCCTGTATCTATGTGATTTTGTATTATGAGAACAGCTTGAGTTCACATTATTTGGGAGACATAACAGTCTAACACTTGCCTCTCAGCATGTCCCATACTGAGTATAATTCAACAAATAATTAATCTGCTATGAAACATTGTAAGCATATCCAATTAATGTACACTGCAGGCAGAATGAAAGCTGTTCTTGTTCACTCTAATTAAACAGTAAGGGGCAACATTTAAAGTCTAAACCAGTTTCTTTAATGGTGTAAATTCTCTGTTGGATTTCCATAAATTGATGCAAGTAATCCAGGAATGGATTTATCATGGAAGTTAAAAATAACTCTCTATTGTAAAGATATTTTAGAAAACTCACAATGTAAAGATAAAGCTACTCAGGGAAGGAGTGCGAGATGATCTTCAGCCACGCC